GGCTGCTCCCCACTACCCTGACATATCACACAGGCTGGGACAAGGGACAGGCACAGACACCCCAACAGCCAGCTCAGCGTAACCGGGCCCACTCCCCAAGGGACGCATCCTACCTCCAGGGACCACGTCCTCACCTATCAAACATAGCGGCTACACGCTCCTGCCTGGGGCAGCAAGCATCTCACAAGCAAAAGGCAGCAGGTGCCACGTCCCAGCCTCAAGGATCCTCCCATGGGGACACAACCGTGCCCAGAAGGCTCTGAAGATGGGCTCAGTATTTGCAGAGCTGAGGAGGAAACAGCACCATAACCCTGCAGGACACCTGTTTGCCGAGACTCTGCAGCACATCCAGGCCATCCCCTGCTCCCCTAGCAGCTCCTGTGAGCATCAGGCAAGGCCATCTCCCCCCCACCACTCCCCACACGCACACCTTGAAGCAACTCAGCCTGCCTGGAGCCAGGCACGGCAAACAGCTGTGCGTGCAGCAACATGCTTGGAAGAATGCGTTACTCCACTGGGCAAGGGGCCTGCCAGGAACACGCAAACACGGTGACCCACCCTCCTAGGTCGGAAAAACTCGTCTTTGCAGTTCACCATGCTCCCTCCCGCCTGGTGCAGCTACCCACGCTGCCCGGTGAGAGCCAGCACCGCTTCCCTGGCTTGCCAGGCCAGTGCTGGGAGCATTGCTGAGGAGGCAGCCCAGATACAAGAGCAAATCTGAAGCCCAGGCACCGTGTAAAAGGGAGCGAGAAGAACATTCATCATCTGAGGACAGAGAGACACCTTCCTCCTCTTGGCCTGGGTGGAATCAGTTCTCCATATTCATTTCCTCTGAGACTACCGTGCTCGTAGGAGAGATCCTACCTGCCTCACCCCAAATAATTGGTCTCTACCAGCAATTCTGCACTTGCATAAGTGGCATGAGAGCAGCTCATCCCCCAGCTGCTCTCCAGCCCTCGCTCAGAAGCTGACACAGGTGAGGCCCATACCTTCCAGGCTGCCCACACCAAGGCCAGGCCAGTCGCAGGAAGGCAGTGAACTTTGTGCAGTGTTCACTGCAACTGGGGCCAACGCCCATAGGAGCAGGAGCCATCAGAGCCAGAACGGAGACATGATAGCAGCTCGTGCCCTTGCATAGGACCCAGCAAGCTGCTGCTGCCACCAACCCATCCTGAGGTCACCTACATTCTAGAAGAGCACCCAGATCCACAGCAGCACTCAACTAGGCTGCAGGAGAGCCAGTCCAAGAGCTCACTCTTCCATCCTGCTTGCTCAGCTCCCTTCAGCCTCTGACTTCCTTGGCCGAGCTTAGAAAGAAACCTCCAGCCCACAGTGCTGAGCCAGGGCACCCACATGCCTCCTGACACAACTCCAGCACCCCACAACCACAGAGCCACCCCCTCCTTCTGCCTCACCAACAGGCCAGGCTGTGGTTTCACAACCTGTTTAGGCCACGCAAGCAGAAGAAATCCTGCTCTCATCAGCACAAGCATCTGAGTAACCAACTGTTTAGAATCACACGTACAGAGGAAAGAAGTGCTCAGCCCAGCCCAGACCCCAACCCACACAGCCACAAACATTTCTGCAGTGGATAGAGGCCAGAGTGCTGCGGCATGAGGTCAGCGTGGAGCTGCAGCACACAAGGTAGAGGCCGGAGGACAAACCATCCAGGTGTCAGCCCCTCTGTCTCCAACCCCTGCAGGGTGGCTGGTCTCTCAGAAGGGAAAGGAAGCGTGGAACCTGCTGCCAGCTCACTACCACCTCCCTGAGCCACGTGCACCAGAAGCACATCAGGCATTGCACCACCAGCCTCTACCTTAACAGGAACACAGAGGGGAAAAAGATAGGCATTCCAGTAAGGGCTGTAGATCCCAGCACCACACCTGGCATCTTGCGGTGCTTAGTCACCAGCTTCCCTCCGCACCCCACCAGCCATCTCACCCCACCGTGCCGGGTGCTTTAGATATGGGCCACAATGAGGAAGTAGTACCACACGCTGGGAAAACTGCTTCCTCTGTAAAGAAATAAAGCAGGGAGATATACTGCACACTTCGGTGCAGGAGGACCTCTCCACACCCAGGTGACATAGAAGCATGAGTACAGCAGTCACCCCACATTGGTCCATTCCTATGTACCAGTTACTGGACAAGGAAGGCAGTGGGACACAGCAGCTCTCCTGACCGGAAGGTGGGCAGCACAGCAATAGACATGAGACACACAGGAGTCAGACATACTCATGATCCAACACTCGTCAACCAGCTGCCATGAGCCTCCACGACAGGAACAGGCCAAGCCTGAAGAAACAGCGCTGTGTCCTTCCCACCCTCAGCAGCCCCCTGCACAAGAGCAGGAGCCAACAGAAGGCTCAAGTCACCTTGGGGAACTCCAGCACTTTGTTCTGCAGCCTGCAGATCCAGCCCCTTCCCAGCAGCCTCACATCGAGGCACATTCCTGAATGCCGTGCCAGAGGACAACTTCCTCCACCAGCCAAGCCCTGTGTCACATACAGAACTCTGAGGCTGCCTGAATCACTCAACAGGTTTAGATTTTGTCACCACAACCAGGCAACACCTGTTGCTTTTTATGGACCCAAATCAATTCTGCGGTTCTGCTCCTTGTCAGAAACAGAGCTGAGGCAGTGAGAATAGCACAGTGCAGTGACCTGTGTCTGTAGGGAAAGGAGGGAGCTCTGTGCATCCAGCCTGAAAAGGACAGGCAGACAGCATGATCATTGCAGGGCAGCTGGGGAGAGAAACCAGAATGCTCAAATAGCACTGTCCTCTAAAGTTGCAGATGCCACTCAGAGAACCCAACAACCTTCCAGGCATAGTCCAAGCCAATCCTTCTGGGTGCCCTAAACACACCGCTTGGATCAAGGCCTAATCTCAAGAGCAGAAACAGTAAGAGGCAATCCAGCGACAGAGCTGGGCCTTCCTCCCAACTCCCAGCCCACCCCAGGAAAAAAAAAACCATGAGGACTCTTGAATGCAGTGATGCAGGGTAGCCTTGTTGGATGAGAGGTACTGACCCCACTGTGGCCAAGGCAAACCCAAAGCTACACAGCACTGAGCCTCTCCATCCTCCCACCCTTTCAGGAAGGCAAAACACGCACACAGTCCCAGCAAGGGCTACATACCACAAGACAGTTGTCTGCACACAACACAGGTTCAGTCAAATTCAGTTTAAGAACAGCTTAAAAAAAAAAAACAAAACCAAAACAGCTGCCCCCTTTTTTTTCCCCTATTAAAGTGTGTGAGTAAATCCGGACAAGCCAGAGAGCCTCTGGGAAATGTGGGTGCCGTCCTTCCCTGTTGTCAACAGCGAGCCCTGTACTGTCAGACAGCAGCGTGCAGCAGGTACCAGGAACAGGAGCAGAACAACAGCAAGGCCCACAGCCAACATAGACCAGCCCTCATCCTGTATCACCACGTCCAGGACAAGGCACGGACAAAAGAGGCTGGCACATGAACTGCAGTCCCCAGCCCACTGCAATCCTAGACCAAGTTAGTGCCAAGTTTCAGCTCCTTCCCCACACCAAGCTGAGGACAGTCTTACTTCCAGTTCCACAGTGAGAGAGGACACAAAAGGAACCATCACATCAGCAGCTGTACTCGGCTCCATGCACCAGGTGCTGCCCCTAAATGCCCAGCAGCTGAGCAGGAGAGCCCTCCACAAGGCACAACTGACCCAGGAGGGGATCACCCAGCAGGGCAGGGAAAGGTCTGTCCCCGCAGCACCAACCACACAGCCCAGCTAGGCAGCAGGACCTTCCCAGAGCAAGAGCCACCACCCGGAGACCCACCCCTCCTCAACAATCAGAGGAAGCTCAGCCGTCCCCACTCCCTCACTGGAGGCTCAGAGGATACAACAGAACCACTGGCAGTCCTCCCACGGACAGAGGCCCAGACTTGAGTGCAGTCACCCCAAGTTCAGACTCCGCTCCGCAGCGCTCCGAGGAGCGGCACCACGGAAGGTCGGCGGCCTCTCGCACAAAGGCACAAGACGGCCAGCTGACAGGAATCGCGGGGCTGCCCGCAGGGCCCGGACCAGGCTGCAGGAAGGCCGTCCCCGTTCGGCAGCGGCTCAGTGCCACCTGCCAGCCCGCGGCTCCGCCGCACGTCGCTTTTCGTCGTCGGGAGAGCAGAGGCGCGCTGCCGAACGGAGCCGCCTGGAAGAAGGGAACTGCCGCACCCGCCCCGCGCCCTTACCCTCCCCAGCCACCGGAGTCCCCTCCCGCTAGAACAAAGGCGCAGACGAGGAGAAGGACACGGCAAGACTCCGCTGCCAGCACGCGGGGGGGGCGGCCCGGGCCCCGCGCCCTGCCCCAGCCCGCCCTCCTCCCGCACAAAGGCAGGGCGAGGGCCGCGGATCTCGTTTGCATCGGCCGCCAACCCGCCGCGCCTGTCGGGCCAGCTCCCCGCGCCGCTGGCACGCCGGCGCCCTTTGTTGTGCGGCCCCGGGATCGGCGACACGCGCGGCTCGGCCCGGCCCCCGGCGGGGCGCGGGGCAGCAGCGCGGGGCCGCGCCGCGACTATCTCCTTCGTCCTCCCCCCGCCGCGCACCTCGGGGCGCTCCCCGGCACCGACGGCGTGACCCTCGCCCGGCACCGGCCCACGCCCCGCGAGGCACGGCCAGGCCCGACCCCGGTCCCCCTCCCTCGGTAAACGACGGGACGCCGCGAGCGGGACTCACCGTGGCCGGGCTCCTCGGGGACAGGGGGCGGTCCCGCCCCGCGGCCGCCCGGCCCGCTCCGGCGGGAGAGGAGCGGCGGGACGAAGGGCTCGAGACGCGAGGAGCCCCGCCGAGGGGCGACCCGGAGCAGCGGCCGTCCGGGTCGAGAGAACGCAGCGCAAGCGGGGCCGCAGAGGGTCGGGTCGGGCTTCGCCACCGCCGCTCCGTGCGCCCCGCACCGCTCCCGCACCTAAAATGGAAGTTGGTCCGGCGGGGCGGGGGCGGGCCGGGCTCCGGGTACCGCCCCCGGCGTCGGCGCGCCGCGGCCAATGGCGGTAGCGCGGAGCGGCGCCCGGCGCGGTAATGGCGGCCGTGCGGGGGGGGGCGGGACGGAGCGGCACGGAGGAAGCTGCTCAGGGTGGGGGTCCGCGGCACAGCCCCGTGAGCGCGCCGCCTGGGAAGGCTTCCGGAGGCCGATCCTCCCGGTAAAGCTTCCGGCTGCCGCGGGGTCGCGTTTCCCCGGCCTGAGCTCCCGTCCCGGCCGAGCCACGGCTGCGGGGACTCTGCTCCCGCTGTGCCGGGGAGCCGCCCGTCCTCGCTACGGGAGGAAACGCCGCTCACCTGCGAGAAGCCGGGATGCAGGCTGGGGGTTCTCTGCCTCGCCTCTGGTCCGGGACCGGCGGGACTGGGGCGCTGGGGAGGATCTGCCCGCTCCCGATTGCCGAACTGCTAAGCGAGATAATGACAAGAGGAAAAGGATTGCCGAATGGTTTGGGTGGGGACAGGTGATTTCAGGGGTAAATATGCACGGCGCGGTTGGGCAAGGAGAGGTGGGGGAGCCGATAGCCGCCTGCAGATGTTTGGGGAAGGTAATCCCCCGGCCGGGGGCGGGGTTTGCTCAGAGCAAAAAAGCATAATGAAGAGCAATGGGATTAAACGAGTGAGAGGGACGCGTTTAGTGAGATTACGGGGCGGCAGACCCCCAGACCCTCCCTGTCGCTGGATCAGTAAACAGATCATTCGGTTCGCTGGCTGCAAGGAGCGCAGCAGGCACGGGACAGCAGCTCTTGCCTCTGCAGCGAGCGGGAGGCTCCTCTGCTCCCAGCGCAGACACCTTTGCTCAGCCCGGGCGGGGCCCCTTAGCCCTGTGACTTAAGAACCGAGCCTTTGCCCTCTGGAGGAGCAGGGGAGCCAGGCAGCACGCTCGGCACTGGCCGGGTAGCTGCCATCGCACGGACAGCAGGTAGGTGGTCACCAGTACCACAGCCTGGGGCAGACTTTCGGCGTGCCTGATATGTTGCTGCATTCCAATCCCGTATTCCGATCAGCCCAGAGATTTTACAGCCTTTAAAGTCTTTAGTGAGTTTCTTCAAAGATGAAATGCGCTGCTGCGAACACGCCTATGCCAGCTCTGAATTGGAGCTGGAGTCGTGTCGCTTTGAAGCCGGGTGAGCGCCTCGTGTCCCGAGGGCTGCGGGGCTGAGCTGGGCAGGGTCTAAAAGCACGCTGTCAGCTCCAGCTCCTCATTCAGCAGTGCCCGGCAGCAGCCAGGACACCCAATAATGTGTGCTCACTTCTGAAGGAAGATTGTACCCTGATCCCTGGGCTCGGGCTCACCCTGCAGCAGACAGTGCTCTTGTTTAAATGTAAGTATTGTGGCGGATGAGTCCGTCCTGCTGCTTCCTGGGAAGAAAGATGGGTTACTAACATGGCTAAATTTGCCCTTTTCCAGTAATTGGGCGTAATAACATCTTATGCATCCCCTTTCATCCTACAGTGCTGTTGATGCCTTCTCCAGACAAAACGCCCAAACAAGGCAGCTACCACCGGAACAGAGTAAGACAACTTGTTTATCAGACAGAGGAATGCTCCTCAGCAGCACGGGGCAGGAGGAAGAGGGAGCTGCCGTCTGCAGGCCCAGCGTGGGCAGTTCAGAGATGGTCTGCATTGTTCTCCATCAGGATAACAAGGCACTTCCGCAGCCCCTTTCCTGTGGGAATCCCAACAGGTTGTTGTCCTCCCCCTGCAGGAAGGGAAGCGTGGCACCAGGGGGCTGAAACATCCCATCTGTCAGATGTCTGCACTAAGCAGTATGTTCTTCTCTTCACCTTTGGTGCTTTTCCTAGTCTTGGGTGCCAGACTTCACCTCTTCAGCTTTCCCTTCCATGGTAGATGCAAGCAACATGCAAGATACCTCCTAAGAATAGAGAAATGAGACAGCTCAACGCTGCAATTTAGTAACAGAAGTAAAAGGGGATGTTAATGGAAAACAATTGCAGCTCTGATTAAGACCCAAGATAGGAATTTCCCTTCTCTGTAAGAAATCAGCTCAGAATCTGCTGATTGGGAGACTCGAGAAAGGATATGACTAGCTCAGTGGCAGGATCTCTCTTCCTATAAACTGTGGAGCAAACCAGGATAACCAACTTGCACTTAGACTGTATCAGACAGGCTGACCTCGCCTTCCTTCTACACTGAGACCTACAGGGAGATGAACCTTGCCAGACTGATTCACGGAGCCCTTCCAGGTCTGCGCACAGCTATCCACTGGGACAAGCACAGGAGAAGGCAAAGCAAGGGCCAGGCTGGGGCACAACACCGTGCTTTTTAGGACCCTGTTTCTGCAGGTCTCTATCCACAGAGAATGAGGTTTGAGAAGGAAGGAAGGTGCAGGTGCATGCTGGGACCTCATCCTAGTCTGGCTTTGGGCATAAATGGAGTGACTGCTGCCAGTGGTGAGGGTCACTTCTGCACAGATACAGCCCCAGCCAGCAATTTCTGGGCACCTAAAGGAGAGAACCACGCTCTCGCAGTTTGCTGGCAAGATGCAGCCAGCAAATTCTGGCAGTGAATGTGGATGCTGGTATAGAAAGAGAGGATCCTGTCAATGGGACAAAAGGGTGTTGGTGCTTTTTTCCAGTGCGGGCTATTTGGCTTTGAGTACGAGTAAGAATTGCACTAATAAAATGCCTCTTTTGTGTGCAGACTCTATCTACAGTGGAAGTGTTTGCTGGTATCACCAGATCCAGTATCTATCACCAGTATCAGTAACTTTTCAAGGGCAGACAAGGCCATGGTAGGAGGAGGGGTAGGGGAGGCAGCACTAGGGGCTGCTGGGGCTGAGGAGAGGACTACTGCATGACAGGGATCAGTGTTGCCCCTGCAAAACACTAAAAATGCCTCAAAGCAAAGGGCCTGCCACCTGGGCCAGGTCCAGGGCTTTGTGTTGCTAGCTCTGTGGGTCTATCAGGACAGAGAATCCTTCTGACACACGGGGAACGAGTGCAACTAAAGAGGCCTGCATCAGCTTTTCCACCACCCAGACCACTCACGTACTCTCCTTTGTTTCCAGGAAATGTGATTTCCACTCTTTCCCAGAGCTGCTGCTGAGCTCCCTGTCTCAGCCGCTGTCACAAGACACACAGCAGTTTGTAAGATCGCTGTGGTCTGAACGGGGCTGCCTGTTCAAAACATTGGCTTCCCATCTCCCACAGCGGGCCCAAGAGGCAGAGGGCTGTTTGTGCCACGCTCTGCATGAAAAGCACTTTCTGTGGGCTGGAACAGATCACACGGTAAGAGTGGACTTTGCCCTTTAACGCTGTGCTTTCCTCTTCCCTGTCTTGCACCAGTAGTAGGACGCACAAGAGCTGTTTTGCACACTGTAACTAATGCCTGTGAATGCCTCTTTGTCCATCCTGCGTCACCTGCAGCCTGATCCTTGTCAGCTCATGAGCTCCCGCAGAGCCTTCAAAGCTGTCTGCCAGCCAGCAGAATGCCAGGATGCATTCTTACTTTTCACTTTGAGCGTGTCCAAGGACTGGGACAGATCCAGATCACTTGCCCTTTTACCACTCCTGCTCCTGGGATGGCCTCAGGAGAGGGAAGAGTGCTCCGCACTGAGTGACAGAGAGGGAAGAGCCCAGCTTTGCCTTGGCCACCGCCCTGATGAGCAAGCACCGCAGCACCACCAGCTTGTTCCTCCAGCAAAGGAGACAGGTGATATCAAGTCCTGCCTCTGAGTCAGCAAGAAGCATGCAGTGAAGATACAGCCTTCTCCTGTAACTGGGATTTTGCCTCACCTGCTGATCAGCTGCCTGGTCACAAGAGGAAGTCCTCTGATATCAGCGTCTTGGAATTTTTTAATTTAGCTTTGTCCTGGCTCCGTGGCTTTCCTTTGACTTCTGTGCCCCGGTCGGCTCAGCCAGCTGAAAAGCACTTTCCACAGCTGATGTCCTCCCACTTGCAGGCTCTCTCTGCTTACACCTTAGGCTTGCCTGCTGAGGAGTCTCTTTCTCACTGCCACAGCTCTAGCATGGTCCAGGCACAGTACAAAGCATCGCAGAGCAGCAGGGAAGGCTAAGAGCATATTCTAAAATTCATATAGGCCCCTAAATCAATAACCGTATCCATCTGTCCCCAGTGAATTCAAGCTTTTCAAGTTACAGCTTCAATTACTATAATTTCAAAAGATTGCAGTGGGCAGAGGAGTACAGTTCTCTTTTTTCTATTTTTATGAGCATATGATAGCACTGATATGAAATTACGTGTTTTACTGTTTCCCTTGGTATGTACAGCTGGACACAAAGCCACCCGAGGTCAGTGGAAAGACTGCCACCAACCTCAGAGCCTCTGGCTTAGACCCATAATTACTTTCTTTTATGGTTTGTTCCAGTTCTGCACCCTTACATGTCGAAACACAGGAAAACCCATCTGTAAAGCCACAGGGGATGATACCACGTTTAACTAGTTGCAGAAAGCTTTGTAGGTTTAAAATCTACAGCATCATTTTGATTCTTGTTCTTCTGCAGCCCTTGAAACTTCCACCCACTTTGGTTGTTTGTGAGGACAGGCAGTATCTCCAGGCTATGGGCTAGGATCATTACAGCTCTTGGTAGCGTGTGTGTGTGGAGTGATTGACGCAGATGTTTTTACAATGGATGCTTTATAAAACAGCAAAAAGCATTTCCAATTCTCTAAGCAGACAGCATCGTTTGCACGAAGGCCACTTTCCAAAACACCCATCCTCAATCCTCCCCTTTCAGCCCAGTGTTTATCTGTACGCCTGTCTCCCCCGGAGGCATCAGCAGGCCGTGCCAGTGCTGTTTCTCACACACACACCCAAAACAAGGCCATGAGCTGATGGACTCAAGTGTCACCACGATAGTGGCAGCTTCTTTGCAGCCAGCACACATCCTGCTCGCTGACCTGTTGCTTGTGTACCCAAACCCCACTCTTCCTGGGGAGGCAGGACGGGATAACTCAGGTAACCAACACCAGTGTGGTAGTGGTACAAGGTGCCACATCGCAGTGGTAGCTTTAAGATGGCGCAGTCTGGGACGGGCACTTTCCCGGTGTCCAGTCTTCACACCCCGGAATCTCCGCAACCCGTCCCTTCAGCCCCAGCTCGCTCGGAACACAGCCCACCACAGCCCGGCCCCCGCCACTTTCCCCACTCACCCTCACCGGCCACCAGCACCTCCTGCGCGACCTTCCCGCCTAATTTCCCGCCGCGCTGCGATTGGTCAGGATTGGCCAATAGCGGAGATGTTGCTGGGCAGAACACGGAGGAGCGAAGCGTCAAGGCGGGAGGCGGGCATGTGCGGCAGGACCGAATCGCATGAGTGAGCTGTCGCCCTTACCGTCGCGTGCGGGCGCGCTAGGCCAGGCCCAGCGGCTCCGCAAGCGAAACCTCGCGCCCCGTTCCCTCTCTCCGCGACGCCGGACCCCGGCGACGACCTCCAGCACCCACAGGGGCAGGTAAGCGGCGCAGCGGTCGTCTCGACACCCCGGGCCCGGTTGGGAGAAGGCCGTGCGGCTTCGCCTCAGAGTCGGTGCGGCGGGCGCCCCCTGCCGGCCGAGAGCACGTGGGAGGTGCGGCGCCGTCACCGCCGCCGCAGGGAGATGCCGTCGGGCTGTTCGCCGGCCGCTCCCAGGCTGCAGTACCGCAGCTCCCGCTTGCTCCGCGCCGCCTTCCTGCGCCTGCACCAGCAGCAGCAGCGAGCGGACGTCTTCTGCGACGTGCTCCTGCGGGCCGAAGGTGAGCGAGCGGCTCCCTCTGTGGCTGCGAGAGCCGCCCCGAGGACTCCCTCGCCGTCCCCGAGGAAGGCCGGGCCGGCCGCAGCCACGCGTTCCTTGCAGGGGAGGTGGTGGCCGCGCACTGCTGCGTGCTGGCGGTGTGGAGCCCGTTCTTCATGGAGCGCCTGGCCCGCCAGCCGCCCCACGCGGGGCGCCGCGTGGTGCTGGAGCTCGGGGGGCTGAAGATCGCGACGCTGCGCAAAGTGGTACGCTTCCTGTATACGGCCGAGCTGGAGGCCTCCCGGGAGGAGGTGCGGGACGTGCTGGCGGCCGCCCGCCGGCTTCGCGTGGCCGTGCTCGAGTCGCTGCAGCTTCGGGAGGACGACCTGGTGCAGCCCGGGCGCCGCTGGCAGCTCGACCGCAGCTGTCTGCGCGGCCTCGGGTCCGGCGGCGTTCCCCCAGCGGACGCCCCCCGAGAACGGCCGCTCCATCCAGACACCGTGGGTCCGGCCCGCCCCGTGGGGCGGCTGAAACTGAGGAGGATGGAAGGCCGACGCGGCTGGGAGGTGGTGCAGGACGGGCAGTTCTCTCTGGAGCCCCTCACCGTGGAGACCCGAACGGTAACAGAGCCGTGGCTGCCACAGGCTGCCGGCCGGCTGCCGGAAGACAACCTGGAGGAGGAGGTGGATGTGGGGACAGAGCAGCCGTGTTTGCCTCCCGGCACCGCGTGTGTCTATCCAAGCCCCTCATCCGAGTCAGATGGGGAGGTGGATGTCATTGGCTAGGGGAGCTGCTAACGCCTGCCTCCCCCAGACCAAAAGATCGCAGCATCCTGCGTCGGTTGTCGCTGAAATAAAGCACTAGAGCTGCATGACGGAGTCGCAGAGCTTTATTGGAGAAATAGCGCTGGTTAGCCTCTGCGGGCCGCCGGACTCCGGCGTTTCAGCGGAGGAGCTGCGGGGTCGGAGGCGATACTGGGGGCGGTGCCCCCCCTTGGTGCCGCCTCTTCATAGGCGCTCGCTCCGTGAAGCCGCTCCCGGCGTGCCGTTGTCCGTGCCGCTCGCGCTCTGTGCCTGCCGCCTCTAGGCCAGGCTGTTCCGCAGAGCCTCCACCACGGCCGCGGGCTCGGGGAACTTCAGCTTGCGGGGCGGCCCCTTCCCGATGCCGCTCCACAGCTGCACGGCTGCGGGTGGACGCGGGCATGGGTCAGGCCCGCCGAGATGCACCACCACCACCTCCTCCTCACGGCCCCGTCTACTCACTGCTGCCGTCTTCCTTCACCAGGGACACCTCGAAGCTGTTCCTGCGGGGCTGCCGCGGGTTGATCTCTACGGCCAGGGTGGCAACGGCCCCGCGCAGGGCCTCGCTCAGCGCCGCCGCGTTGCGTCCGTACACGCGTCAGCTACGGCTGCGGGAGGCGACAATCAGAGGGGCGCGCGAAGCCGCAGCCCCGGGGAGGGGGACTCACCTACCGGCGCCCACCTACCAGTGTTCGATGACGACGCGGGGGCCGCAGGCGTCCCCTGGGCTGCTCTCGGCCTTGCCGCGGGGCCGCTTCTCGGGGGGATCCGCCTGCGCCTCCGGCTCGGCCGGGCGCCGCTTGGCGCGTTTCCTGCCGCCCGGAGCCATTCCGCGTCCCGCTCCCGCCGCCACGTGCCGCTCTCCGCCGCCGCGCTGCGGGGTGCCGCAACGGTGCTGCGCGCGGGCTCCGTTCCCCGGCGCTTCCGCCGAGGGAGCCAATCAGCGCACAGGATGCTGGAGGCAGCCCCGCCCCCCGCCTGATGGCCAACCCGCGGGCAGAGGCACGGAGCGGACACGGGGGCGCGCACAGAACGTTTATTGTCAGCCAAAGAATACGCGCGAAGCGCAGGCCCGGCTCCTGGCTCTACCCTTCCCAGGAACCGGCGGGGCCGAAGACTAGCATGGGCCCCGGCCAGAACGAGCAGAGGGAGCGGCGGCCCCCGGGCTCAGTGCTACGTGCAGGGCCTCCTGCCGGCACTGCCTGGTCCCCAGCCGCAGTGGCGGTGGAGTGGTGACAGGTGAGAATGTGGGCAGTTCCTACTTCTCTTTCTTAGTCTCCCCATTGGCAAGGCCAGCTGCTGCTTGCCCCTCGGGTAGCTCCTCGGAGCCTTCATCCCGTGGCTTTGACTGCTTCTTGGCTTTCTGGTAGAGCTCATTGAGGTTGAACTCCCGGATCACATTCTCCTGCAGCCAGAGCACAGCATTAGCAACAGCAATGACCTCCTGCTAGCCCCCGTTTTCCATGGTGCCTGTGAGAAGATGCTGAGCGCATCCTTATCCTCTGGATGTGGGCTGGAACATCCTTCTGCCCCTTACATACCTCAGAGAAGGTCCAGGAAACGGCCCGGCCCTTCTTGTCAATCTGTGGGCGACGCATGACCTCTGTCCCACCCTGGAAGAGGATGAGGGTGGGCAGCTGCTTGGTGAGGGGTGAGGTGCTCACCTTGTATCTGCAGGAGTAAGGCAACAGGCAATGACACCAATGCATTTGGAAGGCCTGGTGCTACCCTACCATCTCAACCCCACAGACCTGGTGCTGACATCTGTGTATCGGCCGACATCCACCTTCCCAAAATGCAGCCCCGAGCAGTTGTACCTGGGAGGTAGAACACAACTCTGAGTGCCGTGAGTGACCGCTGGGCTGGGGACGACTCACCAAGGCCTCGAACAGGCATCACTCACTTGAGAGAGAGGTCAGCAAAGATGGGGGCAAAGGACTGGCACTCACTGGACCAGTTGGCAAAGAACTCAACGATCCATGTCACCCGCTTGTCCCGTTCCAGCTCCTCCTGCCACAGGGCCGTGTGGATCAACAAGAGACGGTAGGCAGGGAACCCAGCACCCCATGCCAACCCACACTGGGCAGATGATACTCACGTCTATGGTCTTATCACTGAAGTACTTGATATACTCAGGTCCCATGTAAAGGGGTGGCTTGCAGGTCATCAGGAACACTGCAACAACAGCAGTCCTGAGTCCAGTACCCACTTAGAGAAAGGCTCTGCCCCCCCTTTCCCCACTTCTGAAACATCCAAAAGACCCAGGCTTACTCTGAGGGAGGCTCCTCCTTCCCCAGTACAGTCTGTATGACTACAAAGAGCACCAACAGCACAAGGCAAGATGGTTCCAGCCCCATCTCAGGCAGTTGATGCACAGGATGAGCCAAGACAAGGCCTGCCAGGAGCACTGCTGTATTGTGGATCCCCCCACTTCCCCACAGGTCTCACCAATGCAGAGCGTGAGGTAGAGCAGGCCCATGCGGATGTCAAGACGGAAGAAGAGGATAGCATTGGCTACTTTGCTGAACATGAAGATGTTCCCAATGTGCTGCTCCACAGTGACTGGGAAGGAGGAAAGAAGTCAGAGATGGGGCCGTGTCTCCTTTTTCTCTCTCATCCCCTGCCCCCACCTGTTTCCTCTGTTCCTCCACAGTACAAAGTTTGCAGGTTCCCTCCACACCCCCTCAGCGCAGCCCCCACTCACTGGAGCGCCTGTTCTTCATCATCACGATGGCGCTGAGGAACATGAGGATCTCCACCTCCCGCTGCACAGGAGAGAAATGCTGTGAGCAGAGTACCCTGAGAACCACGGCCAGCACCCCGGGGACAGCCGATCAGCCCCGCAGCACAGCCAAGGCCGGACTGCCCTCCCCTGTTCGGAGCGCTCTCTGCACAAGGACGAGCAGCCACACCGGGCCGCGCCGGCCTCCAGCCTCCGCCTCCCCTCCATAACCGAGCCGGAGCTGCACACAGAGGGGCCGCCGCTGCGCCACCCAGCGCCGGCGACGCCCGAGGAGCCCCGGGCACAGGACGGCCGGGCAGGGCGGTGCCAGGCGGCCGGCAGACCAGCGCCGTCGGCAGGACTGCTCACCCAGTCGAAGTCGCAGGGGTTGCCATCCTCCCGCTGCGAGGGCAGCCCGCGGCACAGCGGCGGGACCTTACGGACGAGCAGGAAGGCAGTAGCGAGCAACGCAGACAGAGGATAGTAGGGCCGCGCCAGCCAGCGGCACAACCCCGGCACCGAGTAGAGCAGCGCCAGCAGCGGGGCCAGCACCGCCATCTTGTCCTCCGGCGACCGTCCGCCGCCTTCTCATTGGGCGGGCTGCCCGCACGTCTGCGCGGGGAGGGACGTCCTCCCCGCAGGCCAATCGTGAGCGGCAGCGGCGAGAACTCTCAGCGCCGCGGACCAATGACGGGGAAAGAGAGAAGCGGCCAATCGAAAGGCTGAACCCGCGTCTCCTTTAGCAACGGGGGCGGTGCCCGGCCAATCGGCGCGCGGCGGGGGCGGGGCGGCCCCACGCGGGGCAGGCCGGGAAGATGGAGAACTTCTCGGCGCTGTTCGGCGGGGCCGAGCCGCCGCCCGCCACCGCAGCCGCAGCCCTGGGCTTCGGGCCTGCCAAAGCGGCGGGAGCAGGGGCCGCGCCGCCTCCCGCCGCCGCCGTTCCGCCGCCGGGCGAGGACGCGGCCCGCAAGGCCGCCTCCGGCCCCTTCTATCTGCTGCGGGAGCTGCCAGGTGCGGGCCGGGCCGCGGGAGGGGCGGGCCGCGGCGTGACGGGTGGCGCGCGGGGCCAATGAGAAGAGAGGGTGCGGGCGGGAGGCGCGGAATGACAGTTCGCGGGGCCAATGGGCGCGTGAGGCCGGGGCGCAGGGCGCTGAGGGGCCCGTCCGCCCGCAGGCAGCACGGAGCTGACGGGCAGCACCAACCTGATCACGCACTACAACCTGGAGCACGCCTACAACAAGTTCTGCGGCAAGAAGGTGAAGGAGAAGCTCAGTAACTTCCTCCCCGACTTGCCCGGCATGATCGACCTGCCCGGCTCCCACGACAACAGCAGCCTACGCTCCCTCATCGAGAAGCCGCCCATCTGCGGCAGCTCCTTCACGCCCCTTACCGGCACCATGCTGACCGGCTTCCGCCTGCACGCTGGCCCGGTGAGCTCCTGGGGAGGGCCGGGGGGGTTGGGGGTAAGGTGAGGACCCTCTGACCTCAGCCCCTGCAGCTGCCGGAGCAGTGCCGCCTGATGCACATCCAGCCACCCAAGAAGAAGAACAAGCACAAGCACAAGCAGAGCCGCACGCAGGACCCCGTCCCCCCAGGTAGGACTTTGCCCTGCAGGCCATATGCCCTGCTAACTCTGCACCACACTCATCCCACCTCTGCTTCCTGTAGAAACCCCCTCGGACTCAGACCACAAGAAAAAGAAGAAGAAGAAAGAGGAGGATCCAGAGCGGAAAAGGAAGAAGAAGGAAAAAAAGAAAAAAAAGGTAGGTTGGGAGCCGGCGTGCTGCTCCACTCTGCCTGCCCCAGCCCTGTGCCAGGCTGTAGTTGGGCAGCTCCATGCATTTGGCTCCAGCAGTGCTTGGCACCACCGCAGTTTCACAAGGCCTCATGCCTATCCTTCTTCTGCAGAACCGACACAGCCCCGAGCACCCAGGGGTGGGCAGCTCGCAGGCCAGCAGCAGCAGCAGCCTGCGGTGAGGCTGCACTGTGCTGCTCAATGGAGCTCCCAGCCCCAGCTGCCTGCTGTGGACTCATCCCTCTCACAGAGCACAGCGGGGAAGTGTGGGCAGTCGTGGCCCCCACTTGCAGAGAGCATGGCCCTACAACCCCCCTGCCTGCACTGTGTGGCCGATGGGGACCTGGTGACATGGACAATGCTGGAATGGGGGTTCCTACCATTGGCCTCTTATACCTAAACAACGTGGTGCATTGGGATCTCTCTTTTTTATTCACCTTTTAATTAAAGTCTGCTCTGAGGAAGAGCTGGTGCCAGTGGCGGCTCTGACTGTTGGCCAATGGGGCAGGGCAAGGAGCAGAGGCCTTGGCGCAGCCCCATCATACTCCAGCCCTTGCAGCTTTCTGGGCTGTGAAGAGAAGGGGGCAGGAGGACACAAGTGACCTTGGTACAGCACTGTGTTCCCCAGGGCTGCCCCTGTGGGGCTCCCACAGAAGAGCCAGAGCCTCACTGAGTCCTGGGACATATTCCTGCTTAATGCCCTGACAGCTCCACTTACCTACACTACAGTAGGAGCGCTGTGCCCCAAAGTGCCCTGAGGAAGCTCATCCCAGCTGCGAGGCCAAAGGCGCTGTGGCAGCCCTGGGAGGCTGGGCCCAGCTCTCCTCGGCCCCCTTCCTTTCCACTCCAGAGGAGGAAGGTAAAGCAGAAAAATGAAGGACAGGAGCCTTCAGGGAATCCTCCATCCCTGGACACCACACAAAGCACACGCATGCCCGCTGAGGTGGCTCATTAAATATCCTTTTATTCCTCGTTTTTAAAATGGCTAATAATAATAATAATAATAAAAAAAAAACAATGGCATGGCTCTGCGGAGGCCACAGGAGAGATATTGCCATAGAGAAAGAGTCAAGTAGTGCGTGAAGTTGAGTGGGCCCGGTGCGGGGTGGGCTCCCCAGCAGGGTTGGGGGTGGGGGGGCAGCACTGGGCTCCTTGGCTGCATTTTTGGCATGTGATGAGAAAATATTGCTTGACAGGGGATGTGCCTCACTGGCCTTCCTCTTCCCCAAATGGAAATTAAAACAACCACATGACAGTCAGAAAAACTGATCGCCCATTAAAAAAAAAAAAAAAAAAATTAAAAACAATAATAAAAAAAGAAAAACAAAACCTGGGGAAACACTTAAAAAAAAAAAAACAAAACCAAAATATATAGCAAAATCTGCAGGTGCAGAAAGGTGCAGCTCTCACCTGCTCCTGCACGCCAGCAGCTCCCCCGGCCATCGCCTGCTTCACACCACCTCTGTAGCCATTGGGGAGAAGCCAGGCACAGTGGCTCCAAATCCAAGCACACAGGAGGGGAGCCTGCAGCCTGATAGATCCTAGCAGGGGGCTTCAGGATCCCCCAAGTCCCAGCATGGCATCGGCACCCCATGACCCCCAGGCGCCAGGAGCCCCTGAGTGTATCCCCCTTCTCATCCCTTGAGCACAGGGGCCCTGGCCATGGATCCTGCAAGATGGTGGCTCAGGTGGGGAAGGGGAATGGGTGGTTTCTTCCTCTCTCTGGGTAAGATATATAATTTCTGCTTTTTTTTTTCTTTTTTTTTTAATATTTATATTTATATATATAGATATTTATATATACACACACCTGGTAACTCAGAAAGAGAAAAAAAATAGAATCCGTAACAATAATAATAAAAAAAAGTTATTCTGGTTTAAAAACAATCCATTCCTACCACGCTAGGCGAGCGATTGATTGCACAAGGCCCACAAGTGGCTGCCCGGCCAATGGTGGCAGGGCGCGAGGCTGCGGGACACGGCCCCCCCATGGCCTCCACACCTGGCCAGGGCAGCATCCCTGCCCCACACAGTCCTGCCGGGGTGTAAGTCAGCTCCTGAGTCCCAGGGAGGGGTGGAAAAAGGGAGAAAAAAGCCCTGGGGCTTCCAGCCCATCTCCTCATCCCCGTCGGCTGGGGGCTGCAGAGCGTCCGTGCCCATGGAGCCCTCTGGTGCCAGCGGGTGCCCAGCCAGGAGGTGAGCGGGCGAGCGGCTCTGCCCCTCATACTGAGATCTCGTACGTGGTGCCCCCCACGCCAGAAACCTTCTTGACTCCTCCACGCGTGGGGCTGCTGACAGGCACGGATCCCGAGCCGGGGGTGGCCGAGCTCAGGCTCTTGGGTTGCCCATTGGACTTGCTGTAGGATGTTCTCATCTGCATCTCGTCTCTGGGGAGGGAAGCAAGCACACGGGGTGAGCAGGTCAGCACAGGAATGGAGTGGCAAAGCACGGGGCACAGGGCAGTGGGAAAGGGGAGAGTAGGATCCCAGCACGGCTGAGCGAAGATGCAGCCCTGCCCTCCCCAAGGACACAAGGCAGACAAGCATCCCTCAAGCCCACCAAGAAGCCCATGAAGTCTCCTAGGGACAGCACCAGCTCTGTGCCAGCAGGACTCAACCCCCAGCCCTCCCCGCACCCCCCCAGCGAGGAGCTGCAGTGCACGCCCTGCGGGGCAGACAGCGGCAAAACTCACTTTGGTGCCAGTAACGGCTGCAAGGCCACCTCCTCGGTCTCGGGGACACTGGCCTGAGACGCTGCTGGTTTTTGGCTGCTGTAAGACACAGATTTGCCCAAGTGGGGGGCAGCGGGCTGCTCAGGTGAGCCCAGGGAGCGCACCCGCAGCGCGTGGGAGGGCTCAGGCTTGCCAAAGCGGGGAGGGGCCGGGCGGGTGAGCGGATTCTTGCCCAGAGGCGAGCGCTTCGAATCGTCCGAGGAAGAGCTGGTGCGGGGGGCATTGCTGGAGCCTGGCGTCGACTGGATGCCCGAGTCTGCCAGCCCAGCATCGTCCTCCCTGCCCGCTGCGGGAGGCTGCTGGAGCAGTTTCTCCCGCTCCTGGATGGAAGCCACGATGTGGCGGGAGAGATTGTCATAGCGCACGGGTGAGGGCTCGCGGGGTGGCACATGCTTGGGTGAGACGGCGGCAGCAAAGCGGCCGTGCAGGTCGGTCTCTCGCTGCTGGGCGATGCGGGCCGAGAGGAAGGGTGATGTGTAGCCCACCGGTGGGTCGGGCTCGGGGCCGGCCTGCACCGACTCGAAGTCGGGGCTGTCGGAAGGTGTGAGCAGGCTGTCATACGACAGGCTCCCGTTGCGTGTCTGGTTCACCAGGCTCTTGTAGGAGGTGGAGGTGGTGCCCTCGGAGCGGATGGACTGCAGGTGGCCCAGTTCAAAGCCCGTGCCCTGGGCCGACTTGAGGCTGGAGGATCGGGAGCCACTGGACAGCGGGTCGAAGGGAAAGCCTTTGCCAAAGGTGGGCGAGCGGAAGCTCTCAGGCTCCAGGCTCGGCTCTGAGCGGTAGCTGGGCTTGCGGCCGCCTTCGCCAATGGAGTTGGGCTCCTTCAGGCTGTTTACTCGGCTCAGCTATGGGACAGGAACACAGATATCACTCCTGGGAACATAGGGGCCCCCAAAACTCTTAACGCCCACCCCGAACCCACCACCCAGAAAGCCACAGCAAAGAGCACAAAAGCAGCCCCGTATGAGTGCTGCCTGTCAGCCAGCCACGTGCACAGCTTTACCTTGGCGCTGGTGGAATGGGGCAGGGCAGCTGAGCTGCTGCTGCTGCTGTATCCAGGCTGGTAGTTGTACATGGTGGGTGTCGGGGGGCTGTCCTTGCCTAGCAAGCTGCTGTCTGCAGGCAGGGGAAGAGAGAAAGACACTCACACGTGTGGCCACTAATGCAAACGCTGCGCAGAGTCCTCCCTCCCTTCCCCAGAACCGGCTCTGAGCCTTAGGAGGACAGACCGTGGAGGTGAGAGGAACAGGCTGGGGGAGAGCGCTCCAGCAATGGATGAAATGGAGCGGGATGGAAAATGGGTCCCCACAGCACAGTGTTTCAGGCAGGCACTTCTCTGTCCCTGTAGCGGCCCTGTTCACATCCCGCCTCTCTTGCAAAGCCAACACAGGTGTTTCTGAGCACCGTTTCGCTAGCGCTCAGGGAAGCAGGGCATGCAAGTCACGCAGGCTGCAATAAACAAACTTTGCCACCAAGCCAAGCCTGCCATTCCTTCTCCTCCATCCTGGCTGCGCTCCTGTGCCCATCTACAGCACAACAGCCCTTAAGCCTGCCCACAGCATCTCAGTGGCTCAGGACAAGCACCTTGCTGCCAAGCAGTGGTCTCAGCTTGGCTTCCTGCTCTTTTCCAATAGATTAGAGCCAGCTGGAAGCATCCCACAGGCTTCTCCAATCACAAGGGCTGCGTGTAGCAGCCCGGAGACACGGGTGCACCCTGCTCCACAATGCGGCGGTGCTGACGTGCTTCAGGTCTACCCTGCAGCCTGTTCCTGCGGCCCTGGCTCCTGGTCTGCCGGGCACAGCCCCGGGCTTCCCTCCCAGCGGCTGGCTGGGACCCTGCATGCCCTCCTTACCCTCGTTGGTGGCCAGGGTTAAGTGTGTCCTCAGGCCCGTGTAGCGGCTGAGGTCTGGCTTAGGTGGGGGTGGCGGTTCGGCATCAGCAGACTGGCTCTCCGTCACCTCCAGGCTTCCTTTGGACTGCAGAGACAAAGCGCAAAGGGTCAGCAGGGCACTGAGGCCTCAGCCCTCCCCTTAGCAGGCAGGGGGCATGCAGTGGTGTCATGTCTCTTGGTGCCCCTGGGCCTGTCCAACATCCTGAGTGCTTGAGGGCAGCACATGCCCCATGTGCTGGGAAGTGCCGTGGAAAGGGAAACCTCCAAACAATGCTGCAAGGGTGAAAGACGGGATAGGGAAGGGCAATGGAGTATGCAAAGCCTCATGTGGTCACTGCCACATGGGAGGGATGTAATTTCTATCCCCAGGGGACACAGAACAGGACAACACGGAGAAGGTGGAACATGACAAGGCTCACTCGGTTCTTTACTCACGGATGCAGGCTTGCACCCCTGGGCTCCACGCAGGACCCCAACGTGGGGAGTGCTAATTCCCCCCTTCCTCACCTTCGTCCTCTTCAGCTCTGTCTGGATACCATTGTCCATGATCTTGACAGTGATTTGGCCATCTGACACATCGGGCCGCAGGAAGGGGGGTCTCACCAGGACTGTCTGCTCAGCCCTTGGGCGCCCCAGGTACCTGCCAGAACCCAGGGAGAGAGGGCAGAGAATGTGGTGAAGGCCCATAGTTGGGGGTGCTTATGTTGGGTATTGGAGGGCTGGAGAGGCACCACCACACTTACCTGGGGGCTGGGGAGCTACACAGGACCCGGCTCACATTCTTACAGCAACCATTAGTGAAGGGGTTGACTCCACCTCGGAACTTGCCTGTCACCTGCGAGGTGGGGAGCATCACATTGGTGTGGGTGGCAGCCACAGGAGGTCTCCGGTCCACCCCCCACCCTCAGCAATGCCAACCGGGTCAGGGTGCTCAGGATGTGACCAGCACAATCATTGAGTAGTGCCAAGGATGGACACTCCCCCATTTCCAGGCCCCTGTTCCAGTGTTGGGACTATTCTCATGGAAGAGGTGTTTCCCTAATGTCTAATTGGAAACTGCCTTGGTTCAAGCTGCACCATTGCTTCCTGCACTTCCACTGCCCATTCTTAAGGGCCTGCTGGGCTCCTTCTAACCCATGACCACTCCTCAAATAGCAGCAGTGAGATCCCATTTCTCCAGGCTGCATAAACGAGGACGAGGTCAGCTCAAACTCCTCTCGCACACTGATGGCACTCCTCCCTCAACTATCTTGCCAGAAATCCCTTGCTCAATCCACCCTAGGTCTATCTTGTGGAAGCAATCCCCAGAAGCCATCCCAATGGTCTGACACCAGCTAAGCACCCCACATCAGCTAGTACACATACCTGCTCGTTGGTAGTGCGGCCCCTTGCCACAAGCACCACGTGGAACCCAGTAAGGCCAGCGACAGGAATGAAAAACAAG